TGTGAATGTGTTTTTACATAAAACAAATATGCACCTGTTCCAAGATGAATGTGCAACTTTGTATTTAAATTCTTCATTTCTTTATGTTACTGGTTAAGCCTTAATTGATGGTAGACATTCACCCAGGCTGAAATAAAGATCACATACAACAACTAGCTACTGTAGCACTGCTCAGACATTTTTTTCAAGGCACCTTCAGCTACTCTCACACATTAACAGAATGTTTAAATTGATTGTTGCTTCTAACATTTTCCATTTTATTTATTTCAATTAAAAGTACAAATGTAAGTGTCCTTTCCACTATGGTATGATGATTATATTCTTACATGTTGAGATTGGCTTTGAAGAATTTGAGAGAAAAAGTACTGAAACCCCTCTGTGATTTTCTCAGAAAGTCTCAATCAAAGATCCAATAACAGATATAGCTATTGCACAGTCTAAATGTGCTGCATGGGCATGTGCAATATCATGCACATGGACAGTGCAGTAAGTAGCGATTTTGTGGTTGAAAAACATACAGGACAATTGTTACAATAATGTGATAAAATAGTGCAGACTGGTATTGAAAATCTGACTGAATGACATCTATTTAATATCAAAGTTAAAAGCAGGATGTGTAAAAATAATCAGTTGGAAAAGAGATGTGGAAGCACATATTTAGGATTGCAGTCATTAAAATTACACGTCACATGAGTCCAGGAAGTTTGACCATCCGTGTGCGGTAGAGTCTTCGTCTGATGTCAACTTGTCTTGTACAGTCCAGAATCATAACATATATTCATATAACATAATTCATGACATAATGATGAACCACTCACGATTATACAAGTATGGGAAACTCCAGCTTATGACATCACTGTGCTCTTGTATGTAACAAGAAAAGGAGTGAGGTAAAAGTGAAAGGCTGAATTAACACTCCTGTCACTGCTTCCTGCTCTTCCTTATTGGCTATTAGGCCAGTATGAGTAATGCATGAAACAAACAATCATAAAACCTGCATTGAATTTCAAGTGGGAGTTCTGCTTTTGTTGTACTCTCTCAAAAAGTGTGATTCCTGATTTTAAAATAGCATTAGATTTCAAAACATCGGCTGTCAGCTGGGAGAAATTGCCCATCTAGATGGGTGCTACTGGAGACTATCACAAAATCAGGAGTGCTTTACCCTTTACAAATTGACAACACTCTGATCATTTACAAACAAGAATCAAAGTTCAAAGGTTTTTAGGGCAGCAAGGACTCATGCTAAACAGTGAATAGGTAAATGTGTGATTTGTGCTGGTGCAGTAGAAGGAAGTGGTTTCATATGCAAAATGTCCCAATACCAAAAAAGACATCACATGACTTCATGACATTTATAAAAAGCATTATCAAAATTCAAATATTTAAAAAACCTGAAAATAGAGCTCTGACAGTTTGGTGTTACTGTGAAGTTCAAAAATTAAGTTCCCTTAAGCCTCCCTACCCCCAACATCTGAGCTGGATCATTAATTAATTAAAGCAGTCAATGGACCCAAATCTCATGATGTTATAATGAAGCACAGGGGGATGAACACTGATTTTGAAGGAAATTACGCCTTTTTTAACTGCCCTCAACAGAAAAACAACAGCATTAATTGATAGTTCATATCATTAACCTGCCTGTGTGAATTATGACTCCTTACAAGGCAGATTCCAAATTCAAACCCCAACTGAAGCCATACAGCAGTCTTAAACTTAATCCTCTCCCTGTCTGAGCAGTTTTAGCTTCCCTAACCACAGCACTTAACATGTTTCAAAATGCTCCTGGCAAACAATAGGATCCTGCCAACAGAAGCATCTGAACATAACATTGGTCATTGTGAAAGGAAGCAACAACTGGTGTAATTTCTGCTTGTGAAGACCTCAAAGTAAATAATTGAACAATTTTCTCTGGGTCTTAGAATGTCCCTTTTGCATATATGCACATGCCAGCCCAACCATGACAATGAGTCCATGCAGAACATTACACTTCCTTGTTTTTTTTTAAAGTAACTACAATCTGGTCTATATAGTAGTACATTTGTGCAATGATACACCACAGCTGGATATGGTCACTACTACAACAGAGTGCATCTGATCACAAACAACTGTATGGATACGTTCATTGTCAAACGCAGTTGAAACATTTATGGCAGCAGTGCTGTTTGAAGTTGCTCTTTAAAATGCTGGACAGCTGCTGTATGACAGCAGGTTGATGTTTAACCTTAACCCTTATTATTTTCAGACTGAGAAAATATATTTCATACATATGAGAGAATTATTTTCAAATTATGACATTTTTACAAAAACTAAGACAAATTCATAAAATTGAGATCAGTGAGGTCTAGGAGCAGTTGTAGGTTGCTGTGGAAGTTAGATAAATGGATAGTTCACCCATAAAGGAAAAATTCACTCATTATCTACTCAGCACTATGCCAATGGAGGGTAGGCAATGTATCTGAATCCATAAATCACTTCTGGAGTTTGAGGGGTAAACAGCATTGCAGCCAAATCAAATACAGTTGAAGTAAATGGTGACCACTTCTTCAAACGTAAAAAAATTACAGAAAAAACCATATCCATATTGCTCCTAGGGTGGAATAACGGTATAGTGTCTGTAAGCCCAGACATTCAAATTTCAAATTGAAATGGCATCATTTACACAATTTTTTGCCTAAATGTCTGCTGCTCTCCTCTTTAGTGCTGGGTTTGCGTGTGGATTACAGCAGACATTGAGGCTAAAAACATGGTGTAAATTACCTTGTTTCTAGACAACTTTGAATAATGGGGTGTTAGGATACTTGGATGACACAACAGGAGCAGTATGGAGGCCCTGTTTTTTTTTACATTTCAAGAATCGGTCCCCAGTTACTGGATTTGTATTGGATTTGGCTGCGATGCTTCTTACCCCTGAAACTTGTTTTGCGGACTCAAGCACTTCACCCACCTCTCCATTGGCATAGTGGTGACTGGATATTGACTGAATTTTCATTTGTGGGCGAACTATCCCTTTAATAAAAACACTATCTAAATTAGCTAAATGCCAGGAGCTATGCTTTATTGTTGACTTTATTAAACGTGCATTAGGTTATTATCTATCAAATATGGCTAACAATAATCATGATGTTCAGCCATTCGACACTGACAGAGGGGTGCATCCTTCCACACTATAATTACACTGTCTACTATAACATAGAAACATTTCAGTGGAAAGTGGATATAGTGATCATGGATTATAGAGATCAACCATTTATATGGGTCAAAAGCTTCAGACAGATCAGCTTACTGTGATCACTTGGGGTCTTTTCATACATGTTTGGACTTTAAAAAAAGTATTTTGTTTTACAGTTTTTACAAGCTCTGTCAGTAATTTACTGCTCCTCTCTGTGTCTCTATCATTCAAACTGAGCCTGCCCCACCATCTCCTCTGGCTCCCCATATGTTGTCTAAGTTTCCAAATTCTGTTTTTTTTACCCAGTTGGCATACATACACATGTATCCAATCACACCTTTTGTGTGTGTGTGTGTGTGTCAACACGAGAGTGAGAGGAACACAGCGAGCGGAGTCACAGGCTCAATTGATGAAAAAATGTGCGCAGCTGTGATGAAAGATTTTACTAATTTAAGAAAAGTATCAATCATTATTTGGTGATCAGTGTTGATATTGTGGCGTAATTTCAAACAAATCCACTTTTAGATTGTAGGGTCAGAAGCATCAGTTGAGTCGGTGTTGGTGTGTGTGTGTCTATATGTGTGTCTGTGTGTCTGCCAGTGTCTGCCCCCTCACCCCCCCACACACTGACGGTATCACTTTGTTTCACTACATATATCGTCAAATGCCAATTTAGTTGAAATCATTCAACCCTAACGTGCAGTGAGTGATTTAACATACAGGTTGTTTGCCAGTTTTGTCTCTTATCAGCAAAACCTGATACAAATGCACAAAGAAGCATTATGTAAGATACAGATAACTGACATGTTTTATCTTTGGTGATAGCATTGATAGTCACTGCAACGTAATTATGTAGAACCTGTAAACCTCCAAACATTGTAACAACTGGGCCAAGAGGATACTTTGGACTTTGGGGCAGGAGGCGAGCAGTATTTAAGATCCAAGATCAGGCAGTATTTAAACCAGTAAAGATACTAAGTCAAACACAGCTCATACATCACAGAGTGGTAATGAGACTATAATAAACACTGTTTGGGGGCAGTGTACACCAAAATACAGCAATGTATATTGATCTGTATGAGGTAACAACTGTATTTATACTGTACTAATTTGTCTTGAAACCTGGAAACACTTGCATTTACCATCAAAGCACATTTACAACATTAAAACAGCTTTGATTATAACATATTTTCTCATCCAAATCTTGACTGAGACTTTAAGATAACTTCTCACAGTTTCACAATAAATGGGACAGTGAAATCACAATGACCTCCAGAAAGTATACGGTCTAATTAACATTAGGATTTGAGTCATATCAGTCGACTGAAATGTGTGGTAAAAAGTAAGACTATCAATCAGTTGCAAAATCAAAGAGGCCCTTTTGTCTGTAGGCTGATAGTGGCTACTAGTTGTGGTTCTTTCATTTGTCTCGGATGTCTCAGCAGATTCACTCAAAGAAAAAACTGCAGCTTCTGTTGGCACAGGCATTGAAATATTTGGCAACATTTTAAGGAGCCCTTTATACAGCAAATCTCTATCTATGTACAGATACAAAGCAGAAAACTTTAAAACTGGTTGGACAATGACAATCCAATCACAGGTCAGGTGGCTCTGTTACCTTCATCTCCACTGCAGATCCTGAAAATAATGTTAAAAACCTAATATGCTGTTTAATGAGTGTGTGGGTGCAGCACTTCCTGTGGATCCATACTATTCACAGGAGTAAGCATATACTTCAGCCAGTAGCAATGACACTACACCATATGCCGAAAGGCAGTGTCACAGTGTCCTTTTATATCTGTTGTGAAACTGTAATACATTTTTAAATCAAAGGTCCCATATCATATGGGTGAGATATAACTGGGTGAGAAAGTGAGATTTCCATGTCCTCTGTGATTATAAAGGAACTACAAGTGATAAAAATAGTGTAAAAATATAAAAACACTCAATACACAGACCAACACATACATCCCATATTCAGACACTGTGCCTTAAAACAAGCCATCAGGAGATGTCACCTTTGTTAGCCATGCTCCACCATCCAACATTTTTTAGTTTTACTGGGCAGGAGACTGCTGCCAAGGTTTTGGCTTCTGCAAGTGTGTACCTAAAGTCTACTATATTTTTATTCATGATTGGGCTTTCTGCTGGTTCTCTATTTGGGACTGTTGCTAGGGTTTTGTTTTGTCTTTTTCAAAAATCTGTTCAGCTTCTAATATTGTTAATGGTCCTCTTCTTCTAATCATGGACATTTCTTCTTGCAGTTTTAAATTTCTGGTTTTTATCAATTAAGTAACACTTAGACTGAAAACCAGTTTATCATATCTGAGTTAATAGACTGCAACCGTGTTTACTCACAGTGAAGGGATGATATCTACCTACTGGAGTTAGTGCTCTGAAAAGAGTCAAGGAAAATAATATATTGCTTCCTCCTTGCTTGCTGTCTCCAGTTCCTGATCACCCACTTCTTTGGTCTTGCTCTAGTGGCTGGGAATAGCACATACACTGGCACTGTACCAGCCCACCTGGATGGTCTAACCACAGAGTAAAGTCGTCAGGTCTCCAAGAGAGCAGACTCCACCACTCCTGCCAGGCAACACTGAGGACAGTCATGTGATGCCATCAGATTAACCAGGGATTTGTACTGGTATAAGACTAGAGGCCCTAGTCTATAGCTCTATATCAACTTCAGCTCGAGTACTTCGGTCTGAATCTGTTTGGCTCATTTCACAACTTAGTGACAATATCTATTTGGATTTACTGGTGGGTTTTACAATGTCTTAATAGGCTAAAATGTGTTACCTGCACTGGGCAACACAAACTGCCCAGCTTCTGAGAAGTATGAGAGAGGAGATGTAAACTACATGACATGGATTTTGGTACTTAAAGGTTCAGTGTGTAAGATTTAGGTGAATGGGATCTATTGGCAGAAATTTAATATAAAATAGTCCTCATGATGTTTTCGCTAGTGTGTTTCATCAAATTATGTGAATTGTTGTTTTCTTTACCCTAGAAGGGGCCATTTATATGTAAATACTTTATATTTACATCGAGGGGACCCTCTCTATGGAGGCCACCAGACCAATATCCCTGACAGAATTAAGAGCCACCAAAATGTGACATTTGTAAATAAATGTGTTGCAGTGAAAACAATTGGTATTACCCGCTTGCATTTAACACTATTCCTTTTGTGGAATTCTAGTGTGTTATGTTTGACGTTCATTCATTATCAACAATGAGCAAAGTGCAAGGCCAATGTTATTGATTTACCACTGAGTGTTTGATGTTGGGTGAATCCAAGTGTGCTGTGTTACCATTAAACAGAATAAAGGTATCCCATTAAACAGACATGGACAAAGTAGTTGACATGACAGTTTAAAGACTGGGTCTGGATGGCTGTGGTTATGGTGAACTACAACATCAAACCCCCCCAAATAACTTTTACCTGAACATCTAACAGCTAAAAGAAAACTATTAAACATCTGTGCTGTTATGCAAACTGAGGAACCTTCTGTTGATAGGAGTGAGCGAGGATGAAGATGAGGTTTGATTGAAGCCACAGTCCATGTGCAGGTCATCAGCCCTCCTCAGAGGTTGCAGGAGAATGCAGGTTTGGTGGGTGATGCTTATGTCACACTAAACAGAGAACTTGTGGAGTCACACTTCCACAGAAGTGATCTGGTTCATCTGGGCCCTCATGGCCTGGATGCTGTTGAGGATCTTTTTCTGGTGCCCAGCTAATGTCACTCCCACTCTGAGGATGTCCCTGAAGAGAAAATAGAGTTCCACCTCATTATAAAACAGCATAAGACCTCCTTTTTCTGGATGCAGAAAAGGGGTTGATTGAATTGTTGTATGAGAATGGGACTGGTGGCAGGGGTATGCATGATACTGAACCCAGAATTTCCCTTTGCTGTGCTGCTCATAGAGGCACTGTATGATTATGTGTGTGAATGGGTGAATGTCAATAACCTGTCTGTACTGTAAAGTGCTTTGAGTAGTCATCAAGACTAGAAAAGCGCTATATAAATACAGACCATTTACTATCCATCTATACTTTATCTACGCTTATCCCTTCTGGATTGAGGGAGCTGGAGCCAATCTCAGCTGACTTTGGGTGATAGGCGGAGTGCACATTGAACAGGTCACCATTGCATTTCTTCTTCTTCTCATTATTTTTACCACTAATAATGTGTTTCGATGTTCTATGACTTAAGGACCTGTTCAGACCTGGTATTAACATCCATTCAGAGTGATCTGATCACAGGTGGACAGCTCTAAGTATAGATGTGAATGCACCCAAATGTGTCTTCATTGTGACTTTAGATCACATCACACAGACCACATTTGGAGGTGGCCTGGGGCGCATGTGGCAACACTCTAAGTAGATGCAAATGCATCTGACATAATCTGACCCACTACAGTCTCATAATATACCGAAGTATTTTTACTTCCATTGGTTGATTTTTATTGTGGTCATTTTTATGATTTTAAAATGATCGAAGCACTTTAACTCCTGACTCTGCCCCTTTTCTCTCTCTCTCTCTCTCACACACTCTCTTTCTCACTCACTCACTCAGAGTGAGTCAAATCTGTACACTTGGTATACAGATTTGTCTTCATTAACAGAAATGATGTACAAAGTTAATTTGCACATAGAGCTGGGAAGTGAGATCTGAGCACACATGGTCGGACCTCTCAGGATGGATGTTAATACCAGGTCTGAATAGGCTCTTTGACCTCTGGCATTTGCATTAGGTAACTAACAATGATCATCACAGTGTGGGGTATTCAAATTTATCTAACTTACTCAGTGGTCATTTGAGACACCAAATCAAAGCTGGTGAATCCTTCGTTGACAAAATTCTCCTTGTACTGGCCCATCTTAATGGCAACCAGCCACTCATCCACTGTGCTGAAAGACGAGAAGTCTGGATTGTTTCGATCAAGCAGAGGTAAGTGAACACTGAAAAACAGAAAAATTATAAAATAAGAACATAACAATACCATGACAAGGGTGATTTGTAAAGGCCATTCACATTGTGAGCGATGAAGGTCCTTAGTGCTTTACCTTGATGACAGTGGTGTCATGGCCTTGAGGCTGTTGGGGTTGCGGATCATCTTGTCCAAGGTGCTGACAATCTGGCTGAATTTAGGTCGGTTGTTCCGGTCTTTCTGCCAGCAGTCCAGCATCAACTGATGCAGTGCACTGGGACAATCCATAGGGGGGGGCAACCTGTAGTCTTGCTCTATTGCATTGATAACCTTCAACAATGTATGAAAAGTAATAGTGAGTATCAGAGAATATGAGTGGAACATACAAGAACCTATTTGGGTGCAGAAATACATGTTAGGACACATTAGTGTAACGAAATGAAATAAAACCATGATATAAAGCATATTAAGACAACATGTTGTAGTCATTACTGTAAGCTAGCTAATTTCTGCATACAAGAGCCACTTGGTTTTGTTCACCAAAATGTTACAGCTGTGCTAAAATTCACAGTATAAAGGGGCAAGAAGACTGTCTCAGGAGGTAAATACAATAACTTGATAACATTTGCAAATGTAATGGTTGGAGTTGTTTCAGAGTAAAATTTATGATGACAGGACTGGGTGAGCAGTTTCCCCATGCTTGTGTAGTATTTCTTCTTTTACTGGACACAATTAAAAGATTCAGTATTCAGTATTCTCATCCGACACATATGCACAGAGTAGTATTTTACATTATGGGTTTCTTTTTCTATATTGATTTAAATTAAAGTTACCGAGAATATCTATTTTTTAATTGAAATTAATTTAATCAATTTTCAATTAAGAATCAAAATACAATTTTCACATATTTCTAAGATTTGTTAAAAATTTTAATCTTAATTAATTTCAATTGTTATTCACTTTAGTTAAATTTTGATAATTCAATAATTTTACAAATGAAGTAAATTAATTTATAAATTAAAACAATAAATCAATTTAAATTCCATAAATTAAATAAAATTATTTTTAAGTCATTGGTAGGTACTGTTTGTCTTCTTTCTGTCTGAAGGCACCTTTCTAGCCTGGCCTGGTATTACCCTGAAAAACTATTACAATTTACTTCTACTTTCTGAAAAGCCACTCAGAATAATTGAAAATTAACTGAATGCAATTAGACCTAGGACGATAACAAATTTTGCTGGACGATATATTGTCACACAAATTATTGCCGATAAACGATATTATTGTCAACATGATAATATATCATAATAATTACACCCTTTCAAATACAATAAACTTTTATTTCTCAGTGTTTTTTACCTTTAGCGATGTAGCGAACTTCACTTTCAATGAGCGCACACCATTTTGCGCTGTTCCGTTTATATTTACTTTGTCGACCGAACGCATCAGTGAGTGTTGACTGTCGGGACGAAGGCTCTGCATCTCGAGGTGCACTTTGTTTCCCCAGCTGGGAACACTGGGTCGGGTGGTGATGCTTTAGGTGGGCATGCAACTTTGTTGGGTTGCCTTTTTTCGTTGCCACCACTTTTGAACTGGCTCGTCTGTGTTGATGGGCTAACCTTGCTCATTCGGTTTGGAGCCGAAACATTCCCACACCRGGGCTGTGGCATTTGACTTTGCAATCGTCTTTTCTCCTCGCGTTGCTCCGCACGACGCTCACTCGCTGCACTCTGTGTGTGTAGCATGTGTAGCTAATGCTAGCGGCCCCGCCTCCCCCCCCCCACAGAGACAAAGAGGCTGGATGACTGACAAGAGGGTTCACTCCGTTCATTCCGGAACAAATGCCCCCAGGTGCTGAGACCGAGCACAGAGTGAACACTCTTGTCATCCAGCCTGCTTGGAGGCGAGAGACGAGGAAAACAAACACGCATGCACATGGCTATATATCGAGGCCGGCAAAATTATCGAGTTCATTTTAATTTATCTTGCATTGCCTAAATGCAATTTCCCACAGAGTTAATTAAGCTCCATAAAAAAAAATCATTAAGGACACAGGCTTATCACCTTTCTATGACAGTTCAGTCATATGTACAAAAATATAAAAACTGCTTGTCCTGAAGGGCTTCACTCACATCTTGATTGCTCATGTCCCAGTAGGGCCTCTCTCCATATGACATCACTTCCCACATGAGAATACCATAGCTCCAACAATCACTGGAGGAGGTAAACTTTCTGTACTGGATAGCCTCTGGAGCTGTCCACCGAATGGGAATCTTTCCTCCCTGGGAGAAGCAAGTGTGGAGGTCAACAGACAGTGTTGTATTTTAAGTCCTTCTATAGACTTTGGCAGATTCATTTCAAAATCACTCTAACCATGTCCATGATGAAGTGGCCTTAAAGTTTTTGATTTCATCTGCAGCATGGCCTCAAAATGTTTTGTCATGACACAGGAATTTGGTTGTAAAATGCTTGATAAGAGTTGTGTGTCAATATTCAGTAGGTATGGTAAAATAGCTCAATAGCACCCCCATTAGGATTTCAATGAAGTATCCCCTGTGGCACGCATTGCCTAGAGTCACAAAATTGGGAAACTTATGTGTAACATGCAAACTTACAAAAAGGACTCTTGGGGTTACTAGTTATATCTAACTGGAAGTCTGTCATTTTGAATTAGTGTTGATGTTTTTGCCACTTCCACACATGTATTTTAACAAACTTCCAACAGCAAATGCACACACTGCTGCTGATGTTAATTACAATGTTACCATATTTACTTTATGCATTAGCAATCAGCTTCAATTGACTGTAGTCCCTGCTGATGCTAACTTCGCGTTTTTTAAAACTGAGTCACCAAAGACCAGAGTTTGTTTCTCAATGGGTGTGTTGTTGAGGGGCGAGTTTGAAGCGTAAACTGGTGCTTCCTTCATCACGGGCTTTGACTTAGCACTATGCCTCCTCTGGACAGTCTCTGAGCTGCCCTGGGTTCCCGGCTGCTCGGGATATGTTGAGGGACTGATAATGGCGGATAAGCTAGGTGGCTATGCAGCAGCTAAAGGGGCCTGGCTAACGACAGCTAACAAAGGTTCCAAGGTGCAGAGCCAAGCTTCTAAATCGTTAAAGAATTATATGATGTTTATTGTAATCAGATCCAATCAGCCTATAGATCAATTAATACCATATTCCACTGACACAGCTTAATTGACATGACACCTTTCAACTAGTCTGATGAAGGCTTACCAGAGCGCTGGTGTATGTGGGGTCTGAAGTATCATCCTCAAGAAAGCGTGACAAACCAAAGTCAGACACTTTGCACACCAGGTTGCTGTTGACCAGGATGTTCCGGGCTGCCAGATCACGATGGACGTAATTCATGTCACACAGGTATTTCATGCCAGAAGCTATACCACGCAGCATTCCCACCAGCTGGATCACTGTGAACTGCCCGTCATTTTGCTTGAAGAAATAAAATATAAAGTTTAGTGCTGAATTAAAAAATGCAAATGAATGAACATTACTCACTATTGTATATTGAGCAAATTCCAACAAATGCACTACAAATTAACCACTTGATACTGGTTTGAGATGTGAGCTCCTTGTCTCACCACACGCTTTGGGTGATTCTTAATAAATTATTGTCAATGATTGGTGATGATTTTATTGCTGAAATTAACAGTGGGTTATGAAGAATACCAAAATATTCAGCAATTGCAAACTTGTATATTAGGAAATATACCAAGTGTATACAAGAAACAAGCAGACCAGTACTGCTAGCTGTGTTCATGAGCCCATTGTGTCTTTACGTGCACATGCAGACTGAATTTAGTTCTATAGGCCCTATTTTACACCTGGTGCACAGTAGTGCAAAGATTGACACAATTGTCATTTTCCTAACATTTAAACAGCAAATGTGCTTGAGTGGCAATGCATGTGTCTGTTAGGCACAATATGCACTTAGATATGACCCTTTAAAGCAACTCCTGGGCAGCTGTGGCTGAGGGATAGAGCAGTTGTCCTCCAACCAGAAGGTCATCAGTTCAATCCCAGTCTTCGCCATCTGCATACCAAGGTGTCCTTGGGCAAGTTGCTAAAGCCCAAATTGCCCCTCATAGAAAAAAGGGGTGCTAATAGAGGCACTCTGAATATGTTTGAATGAGTAAATAGCAAACTGTACTGTAAAGTGTTTGTGGTGTAAATTGTTTGAAATGCTACATAAATACAGACCATTTACCATTTAAAATGTATTGAGGTAAAAGGTTGTACTTATATAGCGCTTTTCTAGTCTTGATGACCACTCAAAGCGCTTTACACTACAGTTTACCATTCACCCATTCATACTTGTGTGCTACATATTTGTAGCACTTTTTGTTGTTCTTTGGGGCAGTTCAGGTTCAGCATCTTGCCCAAGGACACTTTGGCATGCAGATGGGAAGACTGGGGATTGAACTTCTGACCTTCTGGTCAGAGGACAACCACTCTGCCCCTCAGCCACATCCACGTCCTATTGACAAGGATGCACCATTATACAGCACTCACTGGCACTACAATATGGAGCAATTGCAGTGTAACACCCATGTCCAATGATCTCAAATGACTGCCATTAGCAGGGCTTCACACATATACAAAATATACTCTCTTGAATGTAGAAAATGCAATGGATGAGTAGATGGCAATCAGTGCCAGTAAGGGAATTTTCCCTTTAATCAGTATGGCTCCTTTACCCTGAGGAAGGAGTCAAGGGATCCATTCTCCATAAACTCAGTAATGATCATCACAGGGCTGCTCTTGGTCACCACCCCCTCTAGATGGATTATGTTGGGATGGTCAAATTGGCCCATGATTGATGCCTCACTTAGAAAGTCCCGCCTCTGGCGTTCAGTGTAGCCCGTCTTTAGTGTCTTAATAGCCACTAGGATCTCTCTCTTCCCAGGCTGATGAAGGTTTCCGCTACATACTTCCCCAAACTCTCCTGAAAGGCAGACAAGAGTAGTCAGTGTAATCTGTGCACACCCATTCACTATGGCTAAGCATTTGTTTAATGATAAAATATAGGCAGCAACAAGTGGGTTTCAGGCTTGAAAAAGTTACTTCATCTATATGATTCAGTTTAAAGTAAGACATTTACCAGCTTTAAGCTATTTGTAGATTGGAAGGGTTCAATATGTATTTGAGTTTCATTAAATCAGAATCAGAACATGATGCAACACATCAATAGAATCTTATAAGATGATTATATTGGAACTGGCACACATATCTATTCATTGAATGTTCGCTTGCTTACTTCTCTCTGTCTCTCACGCTGACACACAGCAACACAAACTCAGCTGACGTCTCAGACTTGCTACGGTTTAAAATGGTGATTTGTTTGAAATGACGCCACATTATCAACACTCACACTCACAACACATAATGATAGATACTTTTCCTAAAATAGTAAAATCTTTCTTCATAGCTGCGCGCATTCATCATTTTATTCGCCGTCCACTTCCCGACTCCAATCCACTCTTCCCCTCTTTCTCTTGAGCTGAAAAGCACACTCACATGCAGACACATACACACACGCACATACACACACGCACATACACACATGCACATACACACATTCACACACATCGTGTGATGGGATACATGTGTAAACTCAGACTAGGTAAAAACAACATATTTAGCTCTGCATCAACACACACTGTGTTTTTCCCACAGAGCAGTGAAGTGACTTCAAATTCTAAGTGGTCACAACTAATTTGTGGTTGGTTTTGTTTATTGGTCACAATGATCTCTGAACTCTGAACCAGTTTGTCTGGCCGAGAGCCCGTTCTTTGACCATCAAAACACAGAGAACTGGTAAAACTGGATTAGACTGGCTCCTAACTGGCTGGATTAATTTCCTTTTCATGCATTGTTTGCCTTTACCTGCACCAATCACTTGTTCAATCTTCACACAGGAAATTTCAATCTCCTTGGCAAACTCTCTGACTGCTTCATTGGGGTCTTCATATGTGAAGGGGTCAATGTATATCTTCATTCCTGGTGACACTTCAACAGAGAGAACACACAACATCAGATACCCCTAGGACCTTCTGGGCCTTCAAAGAGGGACCCGATACATCAACTTTTCTCCAGAAATGAAAGATTTACTGTCTAAAAATATTTTTATTTTTGTCTCTTGACAGAAAAAAAGAAAAAGGTCAGAGTGGGCTCATTTATTGGTTAGGACCAGTACTGTACAAAAGGTCATTGTAGTGTGAGTTAGTTTATAAAGTGACAACTGAACTAACCAATCATATAATAAATTTTTGAGGCCAGCCCAGTTTTGCTATTAGCGTAACCTAAGCATAACATTTACATTCGATACTAGTAACTAGTAAACAAAACAGTGAAACAAGCTCATCATGTCCGGTTATGGGAAAGTTGTGGAAATTCATTGCGTTATAGCTGGACGTTAACCAATTTCTTAGTCCCTGAAAAAGCATCATGATTTTTAAGATTTTTAAGATGTAAATCTTTACCTTGGCCAATTTACTACATGGCCGTAACTGTATTCTTCCCCCCTAAAAAATTAAACATTACAGTGACAACATACTGTGGAAAGTAAATAGTACTTACTGTGTCCACTGTTATAATGCTGGAGTTTGTCTGTATACTCTGCTTCTGGTCTGTCTGAATTCCTTCTGCTGTTGACAAACACAGAGGCTTGCATGACTATGTGATTTGGATGATGAACCAAAGGAAATGTTAAAAAAAGACCATTGGCACACAATATTTTATCAATGACTTTGTCAACACCAAAAGAACAAATAAAATATGATGCCATATGTTTCTGTTACCTTAAAACTATAGTATATTTCAACTCAATTTGCTTGTTCAGCCCTCTATTCATTAGTATTTCTGTATTATCACATTTACCCTGTTTAGGCTGTTTTAGCTCTTTGTTTAGTTTTACAGCACAATTAGTATGCGGTTTAGTTTATTGTTGCTAAATTGTATCAAACAGTTTGTAGTGAAAATAATTCAAATAAAAGTGATATTTCTTTGACATGGTGTTTTGTAACAATATGATTTCACCTCCAGGGGAATGGTGATTTGAGCAGAGGTGGCAAAGAGGTGACTCTGGTAAATGTAGAAGTACTGATTCAACTCCTTTACTCAAGGAAAAGTAAAAAAGTACCAGCTCTGAAATGTACTTAAGTACAAAAGTAAAAATGAATTTTTAACTTCAATGATACACGATGCCTCTTTTGATAACAAAAGTTGTAGGAAAACAAATTAGGATAGTTTTCCTCTTTTGTTAACAACATGCAGAGTGCTGGTACAGAGAAAAATCACTGGACGCAATTTAGTTTTGCTGCCAAATTTCATTTGACAGAATAATATAAACTGAACTGCACCGAGGTCCTGCATGAGCACCTGGATAATTTTTTACAGGGAATAAATGGATGAGGAATGTGCTGGCCTTGATTAACTCCCTAACCTTTGTACACACCGCCCGTTGCTACTACTCATTGAATGGTTTAGTGAGGTCCTTGGTCGGCCCCGCCAGAGTTGGTCACAGCCCTGGCAGAGCACCGAAAACATGATCAAACTTGATTATCTAGCGGGAGTCAAAGTTGTAACAAGGTTACCGTAGGTGATCCTGAGGAAGGATCATTACCATTACAGCAGCCCGACCAACCTCTGGATGGTTAGGGTCTCGCTCTGCCCCCCCGACAGCACACACGCCGCAGGGCCTGCGTGTCTCCCGAGGCAGGGCACAAGCGAGTGAGCAAGAGGTGCTCTGTGCGTAAAAGCATAAAAACAAGTAACGATCCAGTTTTGAGAATGTAAGGAGTAGAAAGTATAGATATTTGTGTTCAAATGTAGGGAGTTAAAATAAAAAGTCAGACTTGATACATGCTAATGCCACCAGTAGCAGCACTGGCAACTAGGGATAGGCATGATTAATCGACAAATTGATAATTGATTGTTAAGAATTTCGTTGATGACGTTATTTTTTTATCGATGAAATGCTCGACTAATGCTGGGAGGTACCTATGCATCCCGGCAACATCAGTCACCTCAGAGTGGGTGTTTTTGGCGGTCACCAGGCTCCCTCAGTGATGATTAACCAACAACAAGCTTTTGTCACACAGTGCCTGGAAGTCATGATGATTCTTAAGGTGTGTATGTTACATGTTTTTTCTTTGATTGAGTATTTCTTAAACCTCCTCCTGACTTCTTAGACTTCTTCATCTACAGGATTTACTCTGTGTCAATCAGAGCCGGTTCAGACCTCCATGGAGTTTTATTTATTCACTAAGATATCTGCATCTATATCTGCCTGTGGGCTATCCAAGCAAACAAAATTCAATCTTAGTCAATATTTATCCATTACTTTCCACTTTGTATAAGTGCATTTGTAACTATACAACAACTAAAATTATAGAAGCCAGCAAAACGCACACAGAGGGATAACTCCGCTTCATCTTGCTGGGCTGATGCACATGCACTGGGAATCTGACGTCCGCGACGGACGGTCACGTCGTCACGTTTTTTTGTTTTTTTTTTCACGGGGCCTCTATTAGTTTGCGGGGCCCTATGCAACATGCGTAGTGTGCGTATTGGGCTACTAGGGATTTTTATGAGGCTTTGTTAAGTAGCCTAATTAATTGTTAGGTAGGCTATCTCTCTCTCACCCTCTTTTTACACTTGGTGCCTTTTGGATAGTTTTTGAGTTACATTTTGACAAAACCTGTCCGACCCAAGTATTATTATGTTTTTGGTTAAGTTATTGTTTAACGTGATTTTTTAAATTATTATTATTTTGGAACAAACGAGGGTCAATTGTGTTTAAGAGTGCCGGCTCGCAGCTACAGGCTCCTCCTTTTTCTCGTAATAAAGATCTCATCGAGGAAAAACATGCTGTATTTTGTATTTTCATTGCATTTTTAATATATAAAAAGTTAAATAATGTATTTTAATTAATACATTTTTTTTATTGATGAAGCGAAAATTGATCGTTTATTCTCCCGGCGATTGATTAAGAAAATTTAATCGAATGCCCACCCCTAGTTACAACACAACAACCAAAGATAACCCAAAGCCCATGGACATTGAGAGGTTCTTGGAAGGTAAAAAGCTATGTGGGGCCGACATTGAGTTCATCCCGCTGCATTAATCACACCTGCAAATTGTTAATTGTTCTTGATTATTTAAAACCAGCAATGCTTTGCTAGCTAGGACTATTTGTCACTCAACTCGTACACAACAGCAACTAGCTTAGCAGGCCTCACAAAGTAATGTTTACAGGACAATCAGACTGTAATTTGTAGTGCAATTCCCGTCTGCTTTATGTTCTTTATCTTAATCTTTATGAAGCCATCAACTCCTCCTCAATTGGTTTATTCAGCCAGGATTATCTCACAACACAGGAAATGTTGGACATCAAAGCGAATAGCTTTATTTCCTCTCTACCTCCGAACATTCTGCATGAGCTGATTGACACACCAGTACCTGTCAGGATTACCATCCAGGTGAGACAACACAGCAGGAGTTTTGCCTGAATTACCCCAGTGAGGAGACAGTGCAGGTGGAGACAAATCAGAAAGCAAAAGTGAGGCAAGCGTGTCATTAAACAGGCTACCTTTAGGGACTTTAATTGCACCAATCATAGGACTGTGCTACTGAAGTTCTATAAGTTTGAGGACTTTCCAACTAGAGGAGGCAATAAGCTAGATCATATTTATTGCAACATAGCAAATACTTACAAAGAGTCACCATCTCCCCATCATGGACAGTCTGACCACATCACTGTGTTCCTGACCCTAGCATACGAATCCCTAATCACCAGGATAAAACCCACAGTACGGACTGTCACAGTCTGGACAGAGGGAGCCATGTCCAGACAACAGGACTGCTTTGACCACTCAGACAGACCTGTTCAAACTAAGGCCACTGACAACAACTATACAGACTTAATGCCTTATCCCTCATCCATTTTGGACTATACATGGACAATGTTACTGCTGTTGAGAGCATTCACACATACTCCAACCATAAACCATAGATGGACAAGGATGTTCAGAATCTGTCTAAGGCACATTATAATGCTTTTTGCTCAGCTGATCCAGTAGCTTATAAAACATTGAGGTCAAACCTGGGGAAGGCATTGCATGAATTGCATGAAAACCATCACAGACTACAGAGATAACAACACCTGTCCAACACACACAGCTAACTCATCTCTCCCTGACGATCTGTTTTTCAACAGAAATAGTTTGCTTCATATTTACTCGGTGTGTCATTAAAACCACCCAAAGAATCATTGGCCGCCCCCTCCCCTCCCTGAAGGACCTCTACAACCCCCTGCTGTCTCAGGAGGGCACGCAGCATCCTCAGAGACAGCACACACCCAGGACACCGGGTGTTTGAGCCGCTGCTCTCAGGCAGAAGGTTCAGGGTCCTGAGGTCATGGACACACAGACTGAGAGACAGTTTTTACAACAGGGCGATAGGATTGATAAATGCATATGTAAATATCTGACTCAATCATGTGTCATTTCAGCTGCAGGCCGAGATTCCAAGCAGTCTGGAAATCCCAAAGATTCCCCAGATCTATTGGTGTCTAAGGCAAGTATAGACAAGTCTACATTTGACACCAATAAAACTGACTTATAAGGACCAGTAGGGGTAGAGAGACTCCAAATTTTGGAAAGCATGACACCATTATTTTGGAATGCAACAATACGTTTAAGCTAATAAGGAGGTGAAGAAACTCACCTTATTGGAGAAAAGACTTTAGCAAATAGGAGGTGAGCTTGGGCCATATAAGAGGAAGCACCAAGGTTTAGTCTTCAGTTTGGCTCCGGAGCCAGCTCTGGTTTATCTCTTGTGAAAGAATAAACTCTATTACATTGAACTTTGATAATCTCAAGTGAATTATTTTTAACACTTTTGGGACTCGAGTAATTGTGAAGTTTACGTGTTGAAATAGAAGTCTGGATTCAGAATCTGGCCCTGTGCTGGACTTTTTATCTCTAACAAAACCAACCCATTAATAAGCTGACATTGCAGGAGGCTACACCAAGTGCACTGGTACATCACTCCAACAAGATGAGACAGGCCCTAAGCCATATCAACCCCAGCAAAGTTACTGGACCTGATTGGGTTACTGGACTGGTTCTGAAATACTGTGACAGTTGACAGTAATTTTTTACAAGCCTGTTTAACATCTCCCTGGACCAGGCCACTGTCCCATCCTGCCTCAAGTCAGCTACAATCATCTCCATGCAGAAACAGGCAAGTCCCTGAATGACTATCGTCAAATGATCCTGACCCCCATAGTAATGAAATGCATTGAGAGATAATTTGGTCACACATCAAAAGTTTCATTCCCGCCTTCTTGGACCAGCACCACCTGGATCAGCGAGACACTTATTCACAGATGATATTTGTTGACTAAAGCTCCACATTCAATACCAACCACCCAATAAAATGGCTATAAAACTAACTAACCATGATGCCAACTAAGGAACTGTCTTCTCCTTTTCTCTCTCTTTACACATGACGACCACCTTCCCCCTCAACACCACCACCACTACAATGAACTGAATTGATCTGTTGGCTGAATTAACGCACAAGGACTGTATCTGTGTTAAGCCCTCTACCTTGATAAACAATCTCCATCTGTGCAATATTTCTCAATAAAATATATTTTCCAGGCAATTTATCTAATAATTGCACAATGTTTGTGTTTAATGATACTGTATTATTGTTCTTGCACAGCCCAAAACATTAAGGAGATTATTAAAAAAACAATATGATATGTTGTGCTATATTACAGACTCACCTGTTGCAGACAATGATAAAGACAGTGATGGCAATGATGAAAACCACCCCTGCAGCAGCTGAGCCAATTATGAGAGGGAGCTTCTCCTGGATACTGGAATTATATTCATCTAAAGGTCAAAAAACAGAACAAAAACGAAAAAAAACAACATTTAACATGCAGACTTCATCCCTGGCATGATTAACGATAATGAGTTTCTGGAAGTGTTTTCCCCATTCTTTACTTCCATGTTTTTTTCTCTCCACTATCACCTCGTGCTTGCTCATGGTGGGAACTGTTAGCTACTGTTGGTTTCTCTCAATTATATTGTAAATATTGTAACATTTAAACCTTACTATGTATTGGCCTTCAGATAGTAATAATAACAAAAATAATAATAATAATAATCTACACAAATAAAAATTAATTGATTTGAAAGTAATTGAACTGAACTTAAATTCTGATTATCAATCTTACCTTCAGTCATTGTTTGGAAGTGCATTTTGCCACTGAAGCGTCCAAATCCAGCAACAGTCCGAGCACGAACCTGAAAGATGTAAATAGTTCCAGGCTTCAGGCTTTGTATGACTGCAGTGTTGGTTTGACTCCTTGTTAGAGATGAGTTCCACTCTGCATGGTTCTGAAAAACATGCATCACAAATTATAAACCTAAAAATAATCAGATAAAATCTGTGAGTAAAGGCTGATAACGATTTGAACCATAAATGAGTCACTAGAGCATTGTCTCTATCAAATGTGGGAGAAATGTGGAGTAACTGCTGTTGGCATCGGTGCCTTAATCCAAGATGGCGCACAACCACCTCGGTGAGTTTGTGTACACTTTTTTGTCTTGTTTTGTGTGTTAACGCCGCAGATTTTTTCCCATAATTTTTGAGGTCATCCATGGAATTATTGGATATTCTGGTAAAGATGCGCTTGCTTTTGCCAACACAATGAAATGCAGAAGGAGGGGGAGACATGCTGGAGCGCTAATGCATCTCTGCAGACTTCCTACATCAGTTTTTGAGAGGACTGCTGTATCCCATCAGGTACCAAGGTGAGTTACAAAAATTACAAACCCTGGTTCACAGCCAAACTCAAGACAGTCAGGGTTGGTGAAGGAGAAGGCAATTAGGACTGGGGAAAGGAACAGGTTTAAAGAGTCCAAGTACAAGTTTAACAGTGCGGTGAGAGATGCTAAATGACAGTACTCAGACACACTCCAATAGTAATTCTCAGCTAACGACTCTGCTTCTGTCTGGAAAGGACTCAGACAGTTTATAAAACTACAAACCTTTATTACTCCACACTAATGACCTGCGCCTAGCCAACAAGCTGAATGAGTTCTACTGTCATTTTCCAAGACAAAGGGACAGAACTGACACCATCCCCCATGATGACCAGCCCCCACCCAAGAGCATCACCAACACCAGCTCAGCAGGGGTCTGTGACTCTCCACACATGCCCACCACAGTGCCCCCTTCCCCGTCTACCACAGTTTTCAGGAGACAGAACCTCCGCAAAGCAGCCAGACCTGACCCCCATCCACTCTGAAGCATTATGCCGATCAGCTGTCTCCAGTGTTCACAAACATTATTAACACCTCACTGGAGGAATGTCATGTGCAAGCCTGCTTCAAATCCACCACCATCATCCCCATCCCAAACAAACCAAGGACCATAGGACTTAATGACTACAGACCTGTCACCCTGACTTCTGTGGAAATGAAGTCCTTTGAACGCCTTGTTCTGTTCTCAAGGATATCTCCAACCCCTACAGATCTGTAGACAATGCAACAAATATGGCTCTCCACTTCGTCCTCCAGCACTTGGACTCCCCAGGAACCTATGCCAGGATCCTGTTTCTGTACTTCAGCTCTACATTCAACACTTTCATCCCTGCTCTGCTTCCCAGACCATCATCACTTCTCCCTGTACACGAACAGCTGCCAGTCACCAGTCCGTGAAACTGGTGACTGGCAGCTGTTTCATTCATGTGTATACCTGCTTGGCGATAAAACATGATTCTGATCTTAATACTGTTGTACCTTCACATAGTACTGTAGTTCATAGTCCAGGATAACTCCATTGGGCTGATCAGGCTGGGACCAGGACAGTGTGATACTATTAGGAGTTCTGCTGACCTGGTGGATAATGGACACTGCTGATGGTGCTGAAGAAAAAGTAAGCAGTGTTAGAGGCAGTTGAAAAGGTACTGATGGGCAGACAAGCTGATGGGCAGTGATGGACAGTGAAGCTTAAACAATATAATAATACTGAAACTGGAACTTGGAGTTTTGTATCTACTCATGATTACTAATTAAATCATTCAGCAGTCAATCAAGTAAAATTATCCTGTGCAAAATAATGACTTGGCCTCACCAGCCTGGTTGGTGGTGATGTTGACAAATGTGTACTGTGGTGAATATGGACTTTGGTCAGACACTCCATTGACAGCTTGTATTTCAAAGGTGTACTGGGTATGAGCCAGGAGGTCACTGATGTGGACACGGGTGTGGGTCAGTCCCAGCTGGCGTGGGACAAACTGCACGTTATCTCCACAGCGGGTGCAGCTGCCTCGTCCACTGCCACAGCTCTTACATATAATGTTGTAGACCACATCTTCTCGACCACCAGCCTCCTGTGGTGGGCTCCACTCTAGCCTCAGAGAGGTCTCATTGACTATGGAGATGACATTTTGTGGAGCTGATGGGACAGCTGGAAGAGAAAGAAAGGAAAGAAAGACATTTATAATAGTAATGTAGTTTACTATTGTAATAGGTCTCCACTTCCCCTATCTACAACCAAGTGGCAACCAACCGTGACGTCACCCATTGGTTTGTGAAGTGCTTTTTTGATGCTGAGAGTTTCGAATTTGATCAGCACCATCTTGGCGGTGTGGAGCCAGGCTGAGGTGAATGTTACCATATTTGGATAAAATGGAAGAGCTGGGTCTAACCTCTTACCTCCAACTCAAGGAGTGTAAACATGCCAACCTAAAACGGCTACAGACCACAGCACCCAAATGTGCCGAGAATTAGCTGCTAACACAGTTAGCTTCACCATTTGGGGTAAAGTTCAAGTTTAATAATCTGAAAAACCAGTTGTCACATATGTCACATAATGTCCACATACTGTATATTAGAGCAGTAGTGAGTTGTAGCTGAAGTTAGTGTGTGAGCTAACGTTAAATAGTGTTGAGCAAAATATTTTCTAACACTGTGTTTTAATCTGCAGAACACGAAGAGACGTCAGAACAGATGTGAGCTGCCTCATGACTCCTGTTGGCATCTTTGTCACGCACACTGGTGCTGGCAAGGGAGAACCCAAAAGCACGCCAACAGACAGTCTTAGTGTGGGCAACGTGGTTTATTCACCAACAGGCAGAGAAAAGACAGGCAGAGGTCAAAACCAGGATATCAGTCAGTACAGCAAACAAATCCGAAGGGGCAGGCAAGAAGGGAATCCAAAAATCCAAGCAGGGTAGCAGTCAGGTCAGGAACAGGCAGGCAAG